GTTCCCTTGCGCGAGAGAAAGTGGCCCATAGAGGAGGCCGAGCAGCCTCTTCCACCGCCCTGCCCAGCAGGAGGCTCGCCGGGCGCTGTCAGCTTCGCCGGCCGAACCACATGACCAGACGTCGCCCCGGGCCGACAGCAGCGGCGGAAAAAAAAAAAAGGCCGAGGCCAGCAGCCGCCACACAAGACGGCCGGTTCCGGGGCCGCCGGAGGAAAGAGCCGCCACTTCCGCCCCTCTGACCTCTCGGCAACTGCTGTTATGGAAACAAGCCAAAGAGGTGGTGCGCAACCTTCACTTCCGGCTCCGAGCTGCGGCGGGGCCGAAGTGGAGGAAACACGTGGGCGATGTAAACAGAAGGCGGGGCGGGGCAAAAACACAGGGCACGAGAGCGCCCGCGCGGCTTCAGCGAGCTCGTCCCGGGGTTGGAAGTCTCGTTGGAACGGAAGGATGGTTTAGAAAGGGGGGAAAGGTGGTAAGGTTTGCGGGGAGAGGGGAGGGCTCCCAGCAGAAAAAGAGAAATACAGCGTAAATGCAAATGCAATCTCATTGCTATCTTATGCATCTTTATATTGGTGCCACTGACTGGAAAAGAGAGAGGTCTAGGTAGCTGGCTGTGGGACCAGAGGTTGGGAGTTCGAGTCCCCCACTGTGCCTCCTGTGAGAAGAGCCAGCTTGTGCGGCTTTGGACAAAAGCTGCCCCGTTCTGGGGGACCCGAGGGGGTCATCAACCACTTCCGAGTACTCTTTACCTGGAAAACTCTGAAAAGAGTCGCCATTCAGTCAGAATTCACTTGACGACACATGATTATTATCATACATAGGTGCAAAGACCAGATATAGTGGTTTTGGAAGTCGGTGATCTTCATATACAGTATAGGTGTAAAGACGAGATATAGTGGTTTTGGAAGTCGGTGATCTTGTCTTTTGAGGTTCTTCCTGCTCATTCTCATCGAACTTTCATCTGGCAGCAAATAAACCCTCTTTTTTTTAAACTGTTATCTGTTCAGATAGTTGCATCTCCTGACCAACGTTAAAGAAATGCTTCAGCCTGGGATTATACTATGTGCCAAAAAGAATCAAGAACGTTTTGATTGTGTGCTTTCGCTTTTTTGGGTTCGACTGTCATTTCTTTTGGAGAGAGCGAATGCCGGGGAGATCTGTACTGAGCAATAAAAGGAGAAGCAAGTATCTGTGTGCAAAACAGCGAAAGGAGACAAACAGTTCCTTAAACGAAAGGGGCAAGAAGGTGCCCATTTGATATATCCTGCTCGGAAGGGGAGGCTTAAAAGCTGACCGAGCGCTGGCAGGAACACGCCCTATCCCCGGGCTCACCCACCATTTCCGATGAGGCTTCTAGACTGGAATTCAACCGGTCATGTTCTTTGCGTCTTGACTTCTTCTTCATCCTCCGCCAGTATATCAACGATGGGACGCGTTTTGCATTTCTACAAAGGCTCTCCCTTCCTTCGCTGTTTTGCCTTTAAAACTCACGCGGCAGAAAAAAAAAAATTCGAAAGGCTTCCTGATCGCTTTCTGTGCTGAACTGTTGCCGGCCGTGGGATCTCAAGCCTTAGCCAACAGGGGGAAATACAATTTTTTTTCCTGGCATCTTTTGCGGGTACGGCAAAAAACGGGACTTGCCTGTTTCCACTTACAGTATTTCCATTATGTTTGCCCCGCATGTGGAGGATTCTGGGTGCTGCACTTGGAAGCCGGATTTCGAAGTAAAGAATCCAGCCTTAGACCGTTGCAAACAGCCGCCGAAGTGACGGAGGCTCGACATACCCGGCGTGATAAAGAGGGTCTAGTCTGACGCCGCCAGCTCGCTGCAGTGCTGCCTCACTTTGGAGAGGAGGAAGAACTGTATCCAGCTAACTGTTAACCTTTACTAATCGGAAGCTTATATACGATCTTAATGTTTTTCCTGCTGATTCTCTCCAAATTTCTGGAAGAAAAAATGAGGAAACTGGGGCTGTCATACTTTGGTAACATCACAAGAAGGAAAGACTCGCTGAAAAAGACAATAATGGTGGGAAAAGTTGAAGGCAGCAGGAAACCAGGAAGACCAAATATGAGATAGATTAGCTCCCTAAAGGAAGCCAGAGTCTTGAGTTTACAAGAGCTGAGCAGTGCTGTTGAGGACAGGACATGTTGGAGCTTGCTCATTCATAGGGCTGCCATAAGTCACACTGGACCGGAGAGCAAGTTAAAAAAAACAGTATCTCAGAAACTGGGAGAAGGCAGGGTGATACCTATGTTAACAATTGTGTGCTGTCAGGTTAATCACTGTTTTAAAAAAGCAAGGCAATGTATATACCAGCCCCTTAAAGCAGTGGTTCTTAACCTTGGGTTAAAAAAAGCAAGGCAACGTATATACCAGCCCCTTAAAGCACTCTCTGGGTGGTTCACAATTTAATTATGCAGGCTACACATTGCGGCCGCCGCCACCCCGGTCCTGAGCTGGATACTCAATTTACCAACCTCAGAAGGATGAAAGACTGAGTCAATCTTGAAGGCGTCATCCCTTCAAGATTCTGCCAAGAGTGGCTAATCCATCGCGAGCCGGAGACCAATGGGAAGGCTCTGTGGAGCTCATGGCAGAGGCAGAATTGTGAGTGGTCGGTCTGCACCTGTGGGGGGATATCCGTATACGAATACGAATGCCCCCATCTCTAAGAGACCAATGGGAAGGCTCTGTGGAGCTTGCGGCAGAGGTGGAATCGTGAGTGGTCGGTCTGCATCTGTGGGGCGATATTCGTATACGAATACGAATGCCCCATCTCTAATTCTGACCTATGGAGACCCTTTCCAGAGTTTTCTAGTTGTAGCATATTTAGCAGTGGTGTACTCCTCCTTTCTTCTGGGGCTGCGTAGCTTGCCCAAGACCACACAGGTTGGCTTTTCCCCCCCACAAGGTACAGTGGAGAATTGAATTTCTGAGCCAGCTGCTCCAGCTTACTGAGTTATTAAGTGTTTATTAGACTATTAAAACCTCACAAACAGTTCTAGCTTTTAAATCCATCAGTCTCCTGCATCTCCCTCCCAGTTCTGTAATGCCCAGCCTGATACAGGGTCTTGAAAGTATCAAGAGTTGCAAGCTGCTATGAGATTTTAGTGGTCTAATAATCTACCTTTGTTTTTGGATTGCGTACAAGGCCCACGTGGTTTTTTTCTTTTCTGCGTCTCTTGGAAATGTCCCCTATTCATAGCAGCTCTGTACAAGAGAGATAAATTATAATCTCTGGTTGTAAAAATAAAGAAGTCTTCTTTTTAAAGGATGCAGCTGAAAGGCATACACTCTCCAAATATGCACACGAAGCTGGATTCACCCTTTATTTTACATATGTAATCATCACTTTTTCACCACTCAATTATATATAGTCCATAATATTGTTTTGGACCTTAAAAGACTTTCATTTTTTGTTCTTGGCTTTTGTTTTGTTTTCTGTGCTGTTTTACTGATAGTTTTGGTTCGCATTTTTCACCTTTTTGTAACCACCCATAGAATTATGATTGCTAGACAGCTTAAAAAAGAAATAACACAAAAAGTATACCCTGATTTCACATTTATGAAACTATCCGAAACTCAGGACCATGAAAAACAGTGCAGCACAGAAAGTAAGCATAATTTTCAGAAAGTCATCTAACTGTTTTGAATTACGGCTGTTCCATCCGAACAAGCAAGACTGCCATGTTCTCCAGTTTTGGTGGCAAATCACCATTCAGTCGCAAGGGCTAGTTGTGTTCCTGATGCCACTCAAGCATAAATCAACAATAGGATTCTGGCCAATATATGTTTCAACTATTTAATTGTTAGCTGTGGAAAACTTCTTTGAGGTTCACGGATTGGACACTCATACGTACAGCAAGCAATATTGTTTCATTTCACCCTAAAGGAGTTAAAATGTCGCTTTCCACAATCTTCACCCATGTACCACAATATGTTTTTCCTTGACAATGATCATGTACAGCAGGGGTCCCCAACCTCCGGCCGTGGCCTTGGCAAGACTAGGCCACAGAGACAGATCTCCTCCCCCCCACATGCACGTATGCCCCCAATATACACATGGACACATGCCCCGCCCAGTCATGCAGAGATGCACGCACGGTCTCCCCCACATGCATGCACGCATGCCCCACACATGCATGCCCTGCCCACACCCGCACAGACGCCCGCTCACCTGCTAAACCAGTCTGCTGTGTGAAAAAGGTTGAGGACCACTGATGTACAGGATCACACCCTTTTTTAAACATGCAGTTAACCCAAAATGAAGAATACAGTAATTGTTGACCTTGCATCACTTGCATAACTGCACACCCAGCACTTATTCTGTATAAAATCCATAATTTCAGTTGCCAGACTCCATATGCAGCAATACCAATACTTACAGCTGATTGCAATTCCCTCTTCACCCATGTCCTTTGTGTGTTAACCGAGAAGTAGACACATGATGAGTTGAGAAGGGTGCTGGCAGCCCAGTGCCTGTATACTTCCACAGATTGCTGAAATCAAAGCAGAGGAAGAAGTCCTGCTGCCATTCATGGAGGGTGTGCAGTGCTCCACATCCATAGCCTGACTGTTTCTCACTGGATAATTTCAGAAGATGGGTTTTTAAGTTAAAATCTTTTAAAGGCATATGGGTTTTATAATTATGAAGTGAGCCAGAGAGGTTCCATTTTGTTTCTTTGTATATAATATCTGTGCTATGCTGACAAGTTGTTTTCTAGGCGAGCAGAGAGCATGTTATTCTGAAGGCCTGAGAAGGACTCTGTGTGATAAGATAGATGGAATTTGTTGTGACTCTTTGAGACACCACCGTAACCCAAATAACATCTGGTGTGTATGAGAAAGAATTCATGTGATGTAACAGGACTGTTTGCCTAGTAACGAACTCGGATTGGATGACATCGTGGGAAGGTGCATTAGGCCCTTGCCAGTTACTCTTGAAAAAGGAACTTTTTACCTATGGACATTGTCTTTCCAAGACCGACCTTTCAGTGATTCGTGACCTACATTTCAGCCATATGG